GACCCATGAGTAAAAAGCAAGCATAAAATTCCTTATTAGAGCTTCTGAAACCACCAGGGACCTGCACCTGATTAACGTTCTCACACATTTCCAGGGGGGCAGATGAGCAGGTTTTGGCTGCCCTGATCCACACGGGAGATTCTCACTTTTCAAATGTCTCAGGAGCTGTGCGGAATTTGGAGTTGCCCGAGATGCCCACCTTCACCAGGGCAGTGGGAGCTCAGGAACCTTCTCACATCCACTTTTTTTAAGAGGATGTGTGCTGGTCTGACACACTTAGAACTGGAAATCCCCAGGTAGAGAACAGGGAGGCCCCAGGCAGGTGAAACACATGTGGGTCATCAGGTCTGGACCATCCTCCCATGAGCCTCAACACAGCCAATTTACACCAAAGGACCAAAAGCTGTGGACACCATTCCTCTTTTTGGCTTCCCAACCTCGACAGGGTAAAACAAAGCTTTTTCTTTACACTCTACACTCCGCTCCAAGCCCCAGGAACCTCTGCGCAATACTTGCATCTTCCTTCTCCAAAGCCTTTCTTCCTCATCTATTAGCATTATGCAGAGTCCCCAACTGCCAACGAGACTTCAGGCACAAATCCATCTATTTCTCCCCTCCAGCTCTTAATTAACATGTGGACTTTAATTACATTTCCCGTTTTCACGACAAAATATGTCTCTCTTATCCACTTGCCCCTCCCCGAGATCATTATGAGAGCTCTAATAATAATCATTATCATCCATCTACCCCGGGAGTGAGGTGGGAGGCACCCTCTCCATCTTCCCAAGCTGCCCTGTCCCACCAAACCCCCAGTCATTCAGTCCTCGGAGCCCTGGTCCCCTTCCAAGGAGAGGGGTAGAAGCACTGCTAACAGGTTGGCACAACATATTGCCAGGGCAGGATGGTGCCCGCAGGCTTTGGCTGCGGTGAAAGACATCACAATTCAAGGATGGACACGGAAACAAAGATAAATCGGGGAGGTATTAGGGGTTCTCTTCCTTTTCAAAGGTAAAGGTGGGCCTCCCTCCTGCTGAAGAAGCTCTGTCCTCACTAGGAAGCTTTGCAGTAACACTCAGCTGGGTCACAGACTGATGCAGTAAAAAAAAGGGGAAAACTTTCTAGCAAACCTCCCCACTCTCCCTGATCCAGCCACTAGAAAAGCCTTAGTAAATCACAAAGCATCCACTTCCGAGGAGAAAGTGAAAACTGAGAAATTCTTCCCTAGCCAGCCAGATGGGAGCAGGCAAGAAGCAGACAGAATTTACCGGAACAGGGACGTCGGTACCAGTCTGGTACCGGTCTCCTTGCAAGCCCAGGAACGTCACCCAGATGCAGTCTATCACAGTGGGGAGACTGAGTCCTGCACAACATCAACCTTGATTTGCAAACTCGGAATCAGCTCTCAGACTGACTTATCTGAATGGTCAAAATTCACCAGTCAGCTGGTGGTTTTGCCGACTTACAGAGGTCTGGGAAATGAGATTGTCCTTAGGTATTACTTTACACTTTCAGTGCTCCTCGAAGACAGTTTCTAGCCCTCCTGGCAGCAAACAGTAAGGAAATACCAAACTGAGTATCGAGCTATGCAGTATTTGCTTTAGTTTGCCAACAGACGGAAGGCAGTGAGCTGCCCACCTCTCCCAGTGCTGAGTGGTGAAGAATTAGCAATACTTCACAGAGCAGACGTGACATCAGGCTCTTGGGACAGAGACAATAACACAAGGGCAGCACTGAGGTGACCACAACACAAAGGGGATATAGGAAGAACTGAAAGTATGGCCCAGACAGAGTCTGCAAGGCAAGGATTGCGTGATCCCAACGCGCAGCAAAGCGCACGGTGCGTAACTCGGGCAGAAAGATAAGCTGGCAGCAGAGCTCCGTGGGGCAGCGAGCACCTGACAAACACGGACAGCATTGCTGCTGCTCGCAGAAACCTGCATCCCTCCCCACAGACCAGCCGTGTAAGAAAAACCAAGTAATTTCCCGAGAAGAGTGTGTCGATAAGCGCAGCAGAAGGGAGACGATGTCCCTTTAAATGCGACTAAAGTGTTGTCAATGGATCTGCCATGGTAGAGGAGTTAATCCCCCCCCAGCCCCTCTCAGCCACTGTGATGGGATAATTAGATGCGAGGGCTCAGCGCAGATGATGCTCCAGTTGCTTAGCAACTAATGGTTTCCATGGAAATAGCAAAGCACAGCCTTCGGAGCAGTAAGTGAGCAGTGCAGCAGGGCAGGGAAAGATGCCTTAAACTCCTGCACTGATCCTCTCCTCCAGAATCACTCAGAGGCCTTGAGGTATTAGGGGAGTGAGAAGGGGGTGCCTTAAAGATACAACATCCATGTTTCAAGCAGCAGTAAAAAGAAAAGGGTTTTCTTTAGGCTGAACTTTGAGTGACACCGTCTCCCTGATCTCAGTGCCCTCCACAGAGGGTCTTAGGCAAAGGCTTGTGCCCCGATACATGGCTCCTCCTGCCAAAAGCAGCTGAATGTGATTCCAGCATCAGTTCTTGCAGCCAGGGGCTGAGAGGTGAACACACACACGCTAATGTGCTGAGATTTTCAGTGCTGTCCCATAAGACGCCGTGTACAGGCATCCAGCCTGGCCCTGAACCAGCAGGCAAGAGGTTTCCTCTCAATTCTGCAGCTCCGCAGCACATACAAAAGCAACAGTGGCTATAAAACACCAAAAGCCTTGCCAGAATAGCAGAGATCAGATTTATTAACCTTAGCCCAAGCCCATCATCTAGTACTTCCTGCAACACGACCAATTCCTACGGCTTTATGACCGCTGCTCCCTGCACCGAGTCAGCATCCCACTGCTCCTGAGCATCGCAGCCAGGACCTGCCCCTCTCCTCGCTGAGCAGGGCACATGCTGCCCATGCAGCAGCACTGCTGCTGTCTTGCCATCCCCCACGCTGAGCAGGGACATGCTCTCTTTGTATTTTTATAAGGGAGCTCTGGGACACCCAGGTGGGGCGGTTGGTTCAGTACTAGGTGGTCTTCACCCCCCTCACAGGATGCAGGGACAGCATCGCTGCCTGCTTCCCAATGACAGCCTTACCAGTTAAAGCTTTGCAAATGCCTCGAGCCCTGGTGGCACAGAAGAGGGCATGGACGCTCACGCCACAGACACAAGCCTCTGCTCTCCCACCCTCCCTCGTGACAAGAGGCATCCCCAGCAGCAGAGCGGATGCCGTGGACACTGGCTGCAGATCACACATGCACTGCTCTGCTTTTCCCCTTCCCACCCATGAGGAGACCGGCAGCACGTGCTCCGCTCCACTGGGTGCTATCTCTGCTGAGCAAAAAGCATGTAAAAATGGAGAATAGGGCAGACCCCTCCCTCCAGCAGCAGCTGAGCCGGGAGGTGGCACATACTGCTGGCGAGGAGTGCCAGGACCCCCACGGAGTCAGTCAAAGCCACCAACCCTGAGATGCCCTGCAGCTCCTTCCTCCCCTGCCTGCAAACCCAGGGGATGCCGGCTGCGACACTCAGGAGGGATGGAGCATCCCCTCAGCCACCCTGCACTGACGGCAAATTCAGCTGCAAGCAAGGTCTCCTGCTCCCTGGAGCCCTGTCCTCATCCACCCGGTGCTTCAGGAAGGTACTGGAGCAGAGTCACCAAAAAAGTTGCGGAGCATTTCAGACTCTGTCCCCTATGGCTTTCAAAGGGGGAAATCAAAGGGAAGCGCCGCGCTTTGTTCCACGGGGGAGCGGCAGGAAAGGTGAGCGGCGGCGAGCCCGGCAGAACCGGTCGCTTCAATCGTCCGCCAGCTCACCTTTGAAGTGGTTTTAAAAATCAGGGAGGAGGGGCAGAGACCCGAGTTCAGCTCTTTTACTGCAGCTTCACAGAATTTGAGGATGTGGGGGGTAAGAAGCCGTCTTTCCCCCACCAGAAAAGTAGCATATCTGTTCAGAGTGAATAGAACATAGCTAATAGAAAAGGCTGCGATACTCATCAAGTACACGCCAAGTCTTCATGTCCCGTAGAGGCTATGAACAGCTACAACAGCACCAGCATCTGCCTACGGTACGGACAGAGACAGATGGGGAGCCACAGGATTAACCAGGTGCAGCCCCCAGTCCGGTCCTGATGGAGCCCCCCCGGTAACAGAAAGGTCTGGTTTTAACCCCGGCCCGCGCAAAGCCTGAGAGTTCTTTCTGTACTATAGTCACAGCATCAGCCCTTGCTGCAGCACGGGGAACCGAAGCAATGCCACCCAGCAGGAATGGCACTGTGCGAGGACAGGACAGGCCCTGCCGTACATCCCGTGCTGGGGAGATGAGGAGAAGTATCAATTACTTAACTGGAAATTAATTTGTACCACAGAATATATACATATGAAGAACACGGTTGATTGGCACGACCAGTCCCCCCAAGCCCACTGAACCTGCTTGTATACAAACACCACCAGCTGAGCAAAGCCAAGACAAGAGGTGACACCCTCCTGTTGCCACAGACAATCCGATGTCATTCCGTACAAATACCAAGCTTTCGGGGGCTGTGGAACACACAAGCCATTCGAGCCAGACTTGATTAACAAATCTGAGTCAGAAGCCAAGTTACAGAGCTCCCCTCTCTATAGGGCAGAGAACAAGCTCAAATCCAACATCTTTCAGAAGCGGGAGCAAATCCAGTTTCTCTGCTTGCCGAGGAGACCTCTCACCGCACATCACGCACACACGAGGCTGGGAGACTGGCCAAAGACATCTGAGTGCACACACAAACCTCAGACACCCCAAGAAGCAATTGAGTGTGCTCGCAGTTATGTCTCAAATCTGAAATACATCTTTTCACTCTCGATTTGCAAACATGTCTTAATCTAAAACACCAGGACACAGGAATCAGTACAGATAGAGAACTGCAAATGCCCTCCCGACCGCATCCTTACGAAGCTTCCCTAGAGTTTCTTGTTGTTACAAGGTGTGTGGGAGTAGGTGAGACCAGTTTGCAGCAAAACTATCCCATCAATTGGCTTCCGCGCCGGTAACACTCACCTGAGAAGAGCTGGCTTTGAAGAATCCAGACGTCCTGAGCCGAGATGCCTCCAGCTTGTTGCTCCTCTACGTTTTCAGCTCCATTCATGATGCAGACAGAGGTGTTGGCTTTGACCTTCTGCACATGTCACCAGGTTCTCTTCCAACTTCTGTTTCACCTTCCAAAGCTAGAGGGGGACCCAAAAATGAGATGGGTTTAGGAGACAAGCGTGAGATGCTGGTTAAACCATAGGGCATAAAGAATCAGCAGCCTTAGACAAACTGGCTCTCTCAGTCTGATGAAGATCCCTCTCACCTGGGAGAGCAGGGGAAGAAGCCAGAGCTCAGGGGTTACGATGCTTTCACCCAGAATACACAGGATACAAACTGATGGGATTGGATTCAGCGTCTGAACAGCCAAAGGCAAAATTAAGGCCTTTTAGCCTTTTCCTAAACTTAAGGGAAAGGTCGGTGGCTGCAAACATATATATTTAAAACATTCTTAGGCTTTAAACTGGAAACCAACACTTCTGCTCCCAGTTTTGCTTCACTGCATGGTCTGGGCAGACCACAGGGCCCATTTCCCCGCTTCCCCTGTTCATAGGAGAGCAGCGCCCCAAGTCTCTACCAGTAAGAAGTAAACATTATCGCACCGGGGAAACGCTCTCCATCCCTGCAGTGGGGGCAGCAAATATTAGCAAGCCCTTTTCACACCTTTTTTTGAGGAGGGTCTAAGTAGAACTGTTCAGGGCTTCTCTAGGCAGAGCACTATATTATATTAAGTTATATCTTCTCCCTCCACATCGGTTACTTACCAGTCCCACCGACAGGCACAACCTCCTCTGAGGACACGGGAACCTGGGGGAAGATGGGAGAAAGTAATCACTAATCAGCTGCAGGTGGCTGCTGCCGGCAGCCTGAGCTCTGCAGGTGTTTCTCATCTCCCTCATTGCTCTGGAGCAGCTTTTGCTGGTGGATACCCCCAACCCGGCCCGGGGGCACCGGCCCTGAACCAGCCACAGGTGAATTTAGTGGCTGCCTGCAAAACGCCAGCTCACACGGCCTCTTGTGGCCGAGCCTTCACTCCCGTTGTCCTCTGCCAGGGTGCTCCTGGAAAGCAGCACAGGGAACTGGGTCCTTCCCGGGGACAACTCCATCCCCAGATATCCTGCTGTCTTTTTTCTGTTCACATTGGTGCTTTGCACGCTGCCCTGCTTGCTTTTCTGAGAAGAACAAGCAGGTCAAGATGCTCCATCTGCACGCAGGGTCCATCTGTTACAGGGCTTCTTTCCCCCCAAAAATACTTACGTGGTTCCAAGATGATTAACATAACTGCATCCAGTCTGGCACTCCTGTGCGAGCTTGTTGATGAAGTCCCAAAGGTTAGGTGGGTAGGTGAGGCGTCAGTTGAGGGTGCTCGCAGATAATCACCGGCTTAATGAATTACTCTGCCTCAGCTGATGCCTGCCCCACTGGGGGAGAGTTTCGCTCCAGATAGAAAGGGGAAAGCAACTTTGTGGTGCGACAGGTCGAGTGATACGTGGTAAATTATTAATCTATAGTAGCTGGATTGTTTGCAACACATCTCAAGTCAAACACAGGGCTCCAGTTTCAGGAAGGGGAAGGAATTTTGATTGGGGCGCACTCCGGCTTTTTTGAGGAAAGCAGCCAACAGGCAGGTCCTGGGCACACCTGAGGAACCTGACAGGGAGCACATCGTCTGCACTAACGACTGAACTTTGTCACACCAGGGTGGGAAAAGCTACGTGACTAGTAGTCCGCATCTAGCAAAAGTCAAGCCGTGCTGGCTGGACAGTTGTGAAATGCCCAACAAGTACACAGGGTACAAACTACTGTGCCTGCCTTGACTCAAGAGGAAAAACTCAGAGATCCTCCCCTGCCCTTTGAAAGTTACCTTTGCAAGAAAAGCTTGATTTCCTGTCTGATTTATTTGTCAACAGCCCATCTCAAAAGATGCAAATAGGCAAAGGGTGAGAACAGCAGCAGCCAACAGCACAGCAACATCTGGCCCAAAGCGCTGCAGAGCAAGCCTGTGGTGGGGAGAAGCACTTTCTTTCATCATGCAGGAAAAAAACCCACATAACCCAAAGCCAAACCTTTGGTGCAAGGGGAAAGGAATTCACTTTTAAGCTGAGATTGCCCCAACATTGTGACGCTAATGTTATGGCGCAATCTTTGTCAGCAATTGCCAAAACCAGCCTCTTTCCGTCCATCTCCCAGCAACTCCCTGACATACTCCTCCACTAGAGCATAACCTGCAGTGTCCTACAGAATGCTCAATGTATGTAGAGTCTGAGACCTCATTGCCTGCTGGTGCCAAGCCAGGGCTTGGATTTTGGTTTGAGGCCACTCCGTTTCCAGCCACACCACCCACCTCCCCTGCCCCCCGAGCAGAGGGGCAGTGGTGGGTGGGGAAAGGGGGTGAAGATGTCTTACACCCACCTGTAACAGCACAAACCACACAGCTTCATTTGAAATACCTGGGGCAGATTAGGCTGGGACTGCGTGTGAAAGACACGGTCACAGAAACACAACCAGTTCAGGAAGGTGTAGAACTCAGATTGCGTCTCCAGGCTGCACAAAAAGTTTCTGAGAGACGCTGTAAGAGCACACCCTGTATCTGCACAACCCGGCTCCTTTTCCCCCTCCATGACACCCCCTCATTGTTTTGCCTGGGCTGAGCTAAAGTGGTTTCCAGCCTTAAAACCCTTCCCAGTACCTGCAAACGCATCCTGAGTGCTCCCCACATCCCTCAGACATCTCTCCTGCTTCCAGAGGCATCCAGGTTCTCAGGTCAGGGAAGTCCAGGGCAGAGCATAGGTAACACTGTGATTTTATCAGAAGCAGAGGAAAATAAGAAGTTAGCCTAACAAACACACATTTCTTGAGGCTCTAGCAAAGTAAATGGGCAGAAAACAGAGCCTGTGTGCTACCACCTATCCTATTCTCAATCAGCTCACTTACCCCACCAGTATGGACCATTTACTTACTGGAAGGGGCTTTAATAGGTATTTAGAAGTGTGAAATCCACCTGTGTAACCCCCTTTAAAAAAAAAAAAAAAAAAAAAAACAGGGGAGACGGAGTACTCCTCCGTGACATTCTAGCAAGGACTTGCACTTTGCAGAGTGAATACAGTGAAATCAAGGTGGCTTTCAGTAAAGCCAGGAGAAGCACAGGAACTCACATCAAATGGATTTAAACCAGCAGCGGAATCCCCTGTTCCAGCCTGAGAAAGGACCACAGCCCCTGGGCTGCTCCCAGACCTGGCTCTCTTGGCACTGCTGCGCCTGCTCCCGCACCTCTCTCTGCCAGTGCTTCCCAGCCTGGAAAGGGTTAAGCCTCAAAAGCAGCTCCTGGGGTTTTGCTACTCCTTTTCTGCTCTGTTTTATTTTCTCAAAGACAGAGATCAGCTGCCTGGATCTGGCTTGACCCCACAGCGCAGCCCGCAGCAGCCCTCACTGCACCACCGAGTGCCAGCATGGGGGGGAGGCACAGGAGGGACACAGGGATCTGCTGCACTGGACCCCCTTTGGAGACAAGCACAAATATTTCATGACAGGGAGAGAATCCTTCAGCAGCACCCTGCAGATGTGGATTTGCTCGGGTGCTGTGTGGGACACAAAAGGACAGAGCCCAGGTCACCGCTCTCCAACCCCCAGGGACCCACCGAGAAATCCCCCAAGGGTGAAGGGACCTCCTCTGCCCACCCAGCAGCCTGAGGAGCCGCAGGTGGTGCCAGCAGCTCCTGCACAAACCTGGCAGCAACATCCCAGCAGAGAAAGCTGGACCTTGGCCTGATGCGGGCCGGGGTAGAGGGACAGCCCTGTCCATCCCCAGCACATCCCAAGGATGGTAATGCCCTCTCAGAACAATGCACTGGCCCCAAAACACAAGATCTAACCAGACAGCCATTCCTAATGGGACCCAAGGTGTCAAGAAAAGCACAACATCCAACTGGAACCAGATGAGACATCTCCAGGAGAGCTGGACGGTGTTTGGCACAAATCAGAGGTGCCCTTTGATTAGGCACTCCCTCCATTCAAAAGGAGAGCGAGGTTTGAGATCCCTGTTTGACTCTCCGCAGTATGTGGAGTGGGTCCTGCCTAAGAGTCTCTGAAAGTCTGGCATAAAAAGAGCACTTGTGTCTCCAGACCACACGGAGAGGGCAGAAGGAAAACGGACCGAACAGCACGATGTGGCACTGCCTGGAGCAGGGCTCAGCTCATCTCCGAAGCTCTCAAGCACGATCTAACAGCAAAATTACCAGGGCTACAGCGTCAAAGCGTGTTCCCACTGGCAATCCTGCGTGAAAGGAACAGCCAGGAGCGCTGGTTCAAGTCCCCCAAAATCCAGACATGCAGACGTGATGCCAACAGGAGGAAGGAGCAAGATCTCAGCAAGGGGAGCCCATTGAGGACCACGGCTCTGGAAGTTAATTGAGACAAAGCTGCCACACTTTTCTTGGACATGAATTTGAGTGGGAGGTGTTTGTTACTGCCAATACATTTTCCCTCATACACAGTTCTTCCACATGAGGTTGAACCGTTAAGCGTTGACAGTGCATCTGTTAAGATTGGCTCTAGAAACCAAATGTTCTTGAAAATAAAGAGAGAAACATGCTGTGCTTGCCCTTCATCTTCCCAGCCATCCAGCTCCCAGTACCGTGAGGAAAAGCCACGTGGAGCAGCCCATGCGCACAGGGATGGCCCGAGAGCGGCCCTGAAGGTGCAGCCAAGGAACAGTGAGAAGTTCCCCAAGGACGGCGAGACTCGGGGAAAGGGCAGCATGACAACGTCAGGCTTGTTTCTGCTGACAATATGAGGCTTCAAAGAAAGGTCCCACAGGAGATCTGGGAGAAGGGCTCTTGCCAATATTTCCAATTTCTCTCCTACTTGGTATTTTCTTTTTAGATTTTTGTCCTACCTCTCATGGCAGCTGCCTTGGGCTTAGGGCAAATGGTGAGCTTGCTTCTTCAGAAAGATCCCGCACCCAGCAGAGAGCACTGGGATCACCACGGACTACGAGCACCGGAAGAGGACATCCCTGCAAACAGAGGAAGATGATCTTCCTCCAAGGTCACGAAATCTTTCCTTCACAGGAAGAAGACAAGACAAAAAAAAGAGTAAGGCCAATGCAGCCTCCTCACTTGACTCCCTTTAATTAGTAACCATCTGGTTTTGAGAAGAGCTGTCAGCCGATGTAGAGCATTTGGCAAGCATCCTCCGCTGCTGCTCTCCTAACTTCAGATCTTCTTGGAAATGGTCTAAGCCCCAAGATGCCAAAAGGAAATGAAAAGAAAAAGAGAGAGGGCACGAGCGAAGCAGAAGAGCAAGGACGCAATGTGACTGAGTGGACGGAGCCACTCAATTCCCCAGTTCCACTTCCAGGCTGGGGAGCAAACTGCAAAGGCTGCTGCCCCTCTGACAGCCGGAAACCCCCGGCCCCAGCAGCCACGGGAGGGACCGCATCACCTCGAGCACCCTATTTCAAACAAGCCGGTACAAATCCCTCGACATTTTCCAGAAGTCAGGCTGCTCAATTTGGTGACCTGCCTAAATTCCAACTTAGGCAGTGACTTTCTGTCTTCCTACATTCCCTACCTCCCTGTAATTTCTCCTGTGTACCACCCAACCACTGTGCGGTGGCACCATGTGCCTGCAGTTACCGGTGCTGCTCCTGCACAGCGTTCATCCGCCGGGCAGACACAGACAATCTCACAAACCAAACTCATCATGTTCTGTGGACGAGAGCTGTGATGCTCTTCCTTGAGTTTTGCCCTGGTTCTGCCTGATGCCACACTCAAATAGAGGGGTGCTGTTCTCCATCGAGAAACCCACAAGTGGGAAGGGAGCGTTTCACCGAGCTCGCGGAGGCAGCAAGGAGGGACCGTAACCCTTCCGCTCAGCTCAAGTCCTCAGGCTCTGCCAGCACAAGCCCTTTTGCTCTTTTCTGGGGAGCAGCCGTGCTGGAAGCGAAGCTGGGGGCTGCCGCATTTCGCGAGTGCTGCCTCCTCATTAACATTCAGCACAAGGCTCAAGCAGCTTTTAGATTACTCCTTCCTGACTCTGGGACCTTGCGTGTGAGTCAGAGCCTTGCACATTCACTTCTCCCGATCCCTGCGAGCCCGCAACACATGGCAAACTACATTTTGAACAGTTCCCTTAATTTCTGTGTACAGACAACCTTCTTCTGGCTTTTGTGAAGAAGCCGAGTCATCGTCTGCTCCCCCAAACAGCATCATGCGCACAGGGACCACCACTCTCTTTTCTCACAGACCTGCTCTGATTTTGCAATACCCTCAGATTGTGCAGTACCCTCTTGTAAGCAGGTACAGCAGACCCCC